GGCTGCAGCTGTTCACGCTTCTCCGGCTTGAACTTGCTGAGCAAAAAACTTCTCTGCATCTGCTGGGTCCTCCAAATCAAGCTCCACTTGGACTGGCCCATCCGATGCCGGCACATCCTTCGGAAGCGCGCTAGCTGAAGATGCACACTCTGCTGCCACTTTCTTGGTGGCGGGTTGTCCCTGAGCCTCTTCAGAGTTCTTGCGCTTGCGCATCTCTGCAAGGAGATCTCCAGACCATCGCACCAAGTTCGCTTTTGCGGCCGGCTCTATGCAGGAGAGCTCGGCTGCAGTGTCAACTACAGCAGGAACTTTCTTTGTGTAGCCCTGGTGCTTGAGGCCCTGGGAAACGCAATCTTGTACTGCGTTGTATCCCGCATTGTCGCCCCCGCAATAGCCACATTTTGGAAGGCTGGAAGGTGTTCTCTTCCCGCAAGCTTCACACTTCACCTTCGCTTCAGCTCTCTGGTACCCCTTAGGTGCCTGTAGGACAGCTTCGCTTTCAGGCGCCTGCAAGACAACCTCTTTCGCAGAAACAATGGTGCGAAACAAGGAAACACCTCTCTCCCCGAAGATCTGCTCACGGGCCAATGGTTGTCCAGTAATCAAGCCGCACGTCTTGAAACCTGAGCGAATGTACTTTGAGCAGTAGGCATGGTCGAAGACTTCATGGACAACGTCGAGGGCCGCCAGATGGGAGAGGTTTGAATCACGTCGCTTTTTATCCCAAAGCAATTCTGCTTGCGCGTTGGGAGCCTGGTCAGCAGGACAGAGAGCCGACGTACTGTATGGCGGGAAGAACAGAGGACGGATCTTCTTTGAGAAGCACGCCAGCGTAAAGTCAGGGGAGAGGTGAAGAAGTGAGCCACCGCCGCTGTCCAAAAGCAAAATGAGCTCCTTGTCACGGCTTACCTTCAAGTCCTGTCTTACATAGCGCTCCCACCGCAAAGTGAACTCCACAAAGAGTTCTGCAGTCATCGAACCTCTGGCCGTGGCCCGCACAGCAGCTTCCGGCCAAATCTTAGCCCAGGCTTCTGAAAAGGTGGTGCCCTGCACCACCACAGATGGTGGTGAAATGTCTCCGCCTCAGCAAGCGAGCAAATCATGTTTTCATGGGCCCTGACATAAAAAAGGGACATGATGCGACAAAGAAGAACCACATAAACAAAAAAACTCCACTAACAGCGTATATTATATACTCACAACGAGCTTCGCAAGGACATGTACGGAAGGATGGTGATATGGCCGAAAGAACCTTCTTGGACAGAAGCGCTTGCTGACGTACCAATGCACTTTGGTACCAAGACTTTCTGGCCTTTTAGCTTTCCAGAATCTCGGGCTTCGAAGCCCTTCTCATCTGTGTTCCAGATGGCAACTCCAGCTTCATCTGTCAAAGCACCATTTTGGCGCCAGCCGCACTCATCCAGCGTCTCCTCCAACAGGTCGAGAAACTGGTGGCAAGCCTGCGGCGTCAGCATCGCCGCCTGCTCGGCAGGACGAGCGTTGAGACATCGCCGCCGGATTTGGAAATCATCTGGGTAGGTGTCGTCAACCCACTCACGCCAATGCCTGTAAATGTAATCCATGGAGCGCTCATGGGCATCGTAATCACCCCAAGGCACAGGCATGTTGGGCTCAACCAGGTTGCAGTTGCACAGCCAGTAGCGGAACATCGACTTCTTGATATCTGCAACCGACAGGGGTTTGTTGCTCTGCGCACAGCGGGTGACGTGTGTCACCAGATCCTGCTTCTGGGAAACTGTGAGCATGCCAGTGCCATAGCGACCTGCCAAGGAAAGAATGGTTATATAACAATGTTCCCAAAGAGTGTATAATAAACCTTTCTGGGAATACAAACCCTAATCTGCGCGAGCCCCGCGTGACCCCGTGGGAGCTCTTCGCGACGTTCGCGCGAGGTATGGCTGAAGAACCCCCCCCTTCGTCCACCCGTGCCTGCTGCAAAACACCTGGGCACAACATTCTGCTCGCCAGCTTGCTTGGCTTCCGCCAGGTGTTTCCTCACACGGCCGATCTTGACTTTATTGACATGGAAAGCTTGCAAGGCATTTGCAGCTTTAGTCACCTTACCATCCCACTCGCCCTGCTCAAGCAAATGAACCACGTCCAGGTAGAGCAAATAGAAATCTGCAGCTCTTTGCAGGAAGAACCCGGAGTTAGGCCCTGCTTTCTTCAGTTCTTTCTTCAAGAAAGCCCACCTTTTCTCGAAAGCATGAAGTGTGGGTGTGCGATCCTCAAATCTTGGTCTTGCCTCCGGTTTCTGTGCAGGCTGGAGCGCACGCTTCTCACCAGTCTGGGGGCTGGGCAGCTCAACTGCAGGCTGGGCCTTTGGTGGGGTGGCTGTCAAAGGTTCAACTGAAGGAGGTGCTTCGGCAGTCGCTGCGCTGGGCTTGGCAACGCTTTTCTCTGCGCAGAAGGTCAAGTAGCTACTTTTCCATTCCTCTCTCTGCGTGTCTGTCATCCCTAGCCATCGCTGCAAAGCTTGGCGTCCAGGAGTTGTTTTTTCCATCAAAGCCATAGCCAATGGCTGATGCCACTTTCTGGAACCAAGTGCACCAGCTTGCCGACTTCGGCTTGCCTTCCCACACTGCTAAGCTGGGTTGAACAGCTTCCACAATGCCTGGTTCTGCAGTACACGCTAATGCTTGCAGCTGCAAAAAATCCACTGCCATCTCTCCGGACGGGACCTCAAAAGATCCACCTGTCGATTCACCACTGGCTTCTGCAGAAGAAGCGGGTTTGACCCGTCTGGCTTCCACATTCTTCTCGAAACACAAGTGGCACCAAAGCTTTAGAACGCTCGTGTTCTGTTCTGTGAGGCACACATTGCAGTCATGACAGGCCGTCCCCGCAACCTGTACAGGCAGCGAAAACGCTCGAGTTGGTGAGGGAACTTCTCAACAAACACAGAAAAAGAAAAAGGTGACGCAAATTTGCCGAACAACCGTGGCATCTGAGGCAGTGCCCGCCACTGCCGCTTGATCACCTACAGGTTGCACCCCGCCAGCTGCAAAGCCTTTCTCCACAGCAGGCTCGCCCTCCTGCAAATAGGCCAGCTCAAAAACAACGAGCCTGCTACCAAGCACCTCCGCGCATGCTCCTTGTGGGGGACGGAGCTACCCCGTCACCTCAGTACCAGGCACCTCCACGCATGCTCCTTGTAGGGGACGGAGCTACCCC